ACCCTTTGACCTTCATCCTCGTAACTTAGATCAATGTTAGAAAGTGCCTGTAGTCCTGCCAGTTATGACATTTCCCCTCAGTTCTCTAGCAAGCTTGAGTGAAGGATCCTTCCTCTGGTCCTATGGGACAGCAGTCTCAAGTTACCTTTGTCTCATGTTGGTCTTTGGTTCTTTGTTAAGGCTGCTATCACTCTCCTGTAGATCCTGGTCTGACAGGCATAGCAATCTCTGGCCCTGAAGGATGATGGCCCTACAATCTCTACTGCTTAGTGAAATTTCCATCTTCTGGTGCTAAACATACTCTGTTTAAACTTGTGGGGAGGGGAAACTGACCAAATAATGATGAATTTCTGAAGTTCACGATATTTCATGTTTCCACCTAGTCATGTGGAATTCAGAGCCAATGTTTATGAAAGCCATTTTGAACAATAAACACATGACACCATAACTACCTCCATTGATTTAAGAAGAAATAGTGACTCTCAACAGACCCCTAGCAAGTGACAAGATTGAGTGTTGTTGTTAGGTGCTATCAATTCGAGCATGACTTATAGCAAGCCAGTGAACAAACGATCTGAACCCTTTTCTGTCCCCTGCCATCCTCACACTTCCTGACACACAAAACCCATTGCAGCAGTCATCGTGTCAGTATACTTGGTTGATGATCTCCCTCTCCCTCACCAACCTTTCACCCTTTGTCCCTTTCCAAGGAATAGCACCTTCTAGCAACATGTCCAAAGTAGGTGAGGCAAAGCCTCATCATTCTTGTCTCCAAAGAGCACTCTGGCTGCACTGTTTCATCTTCAAGACATATCTGTTCATTCTGTTGGCCATCCATGGGATGTTCGGTGCTCTTCTTCAACACCACAGCTCAAAGGTGTCAATTCTTTTTCAGTCATTATTATTCATTGTCCAGGTCTCGGATGCATAGCTAGTAATTGGAAAGACTATCGCCTGAATCAGACACACCTTAGTCTTCAAGCTGTCATCAGTATTCCTCAATAATTTGGAAAGGTCTCTAACTGCAGATTTTCCCAGTGCACTGTGTCTCCTTATTTCCTGACTGCTTGTACTAAGGGTGTTAATTGTGGATCGAAGCACGATGAAGCTATGACAGTTTCAGTCTCCTCTCCATTCATCATGATACTGCTTTTCGGTCCAGTGCTAAGAATCTTCGTTTTCTTGATATTGAGAGGTAATCCATACTTAAGGCTGCATTCCTTGATCTTCTGCAACAAGTGCTTCAAGTCCTCTTCACTTTAAGCAAGTAAGGTTGTGTCATCTGTGTAACGCAGATTATTGATAAGTCTCCCTCCAATCCTGAGATCACATTCTTCTTCATAGAGTCCAGCTTCTCGGATAATTTGCTGAGCACAATCAAGTGCTCTGGAATTCCCATTCTTCCCAATGTCAACCACAACTTGTCATGATCCAGTCAAACACCTTTCCATAGTCAATAAAGCACAAATAGACATTCTTGTGATACTACTTAATTTCAACGATGATCCATCTGACATCAACAATAATATCCCTAGCGCTATAACCTCAAAAGAATGAATATGTAATGAAAATTATTGATGAACATTTTAAATGGAGAAGAGATGAGGTTTTTAACAATTACAGCTTGCTCTGCTCCACACTCAACAGTCTTAACATCAGCAGTCAGTAAATCAAAATACAAATTTCACTGGGAAAATCTGCTGTCAGCGACCTCTCCAGAGTACTGAAAAGCAATGATGTCAGTCTAGAGACTTAGGTGTGCCTGATCCAGGCCATGGTCTTTGCAATTACTTATTATGCTTCAAAGAGTTGGACAATGACTAAGGATGACAGAAGAAGAATCAATCAATGCCTTCAAATTGTGGTGGAGAAGAGTCTTGAACATACCATGGACTGCCAAGAAAATGAATAGGTCTGTCGTGGAGATGGTGAAACCAAGTTTCTCCTTGGAGGCTAGGATTTTGAAGCTCTGTCTCATGTACTTTGGGCACCTGGCCAGGAAAGACCAGTCCTTGCACATCATGCTTGGAAGGGTGGAGGGACAGCACAGGAGAGGAAGACCCTGGTTGAGAAGGATTGATACAGAGATTGGGGCAGTGGAGGTTGGTGTATCAGAATTAGTGAGACTGGCTCAGAACAGGGCATTGTTCAGAGGTGCTGTACAAAGTGTCATTATAGGGTGCAGGCAACTTGATGGCACATAAAAACAACAATTATTTATTAAAGATACTATGTTTTTGTTGTGTTGACTTTGACTCATACTGACTCTGTGTACAGCTAAATGAAACCCTGTTTGCTACTGTACCACCATCACAATCTCTTGTTGCAGTTGCTATGTCAATCCCTTTCTTTGAGTCTCTTCCTTTTTGTCTTCTGGCCCTATACCTTTCCAAGCATAATGTCCTTTCCCAACGGCTGGACTCTGATAACATCCTCGCAAAGTATGTGAGATAAAGACACACCCTTCTTGCTTCTAAGGGGTAGTCTGACTGCACTTATTCCAAGACGTATTTGCTTGTTCTTTTGATAATCTCTGAGACATTCATCACCAACACCACAATTCAAAGGCATCAATTCTTTGAGCTCCATGTTTTATTTATCAACTTTTCACATACATATGAAGCAATTGCAAAGACCAAGGGTTGAGTCATGTCATGTGCACTTTAGTCTTTAGCACTTTAGAGAAATCCTTTAGAAGCTGAATTACCCATTGCAATATGTTGCTTGTGTTCTTGACTGCTAAATGCTATCAAAAGGGAGGTAAAAGCTGAACAGAATAAAATCTTGTCTTGAGATAATCATTAAACTTTAAACCAAAAATGTTCCTGAAGTATGCAGACCAGGTTATAGTTTAGCTTAATGGGTAAAAAGTTTACTTTAAACATATAGTATTTTTTAAACCTATACTCCTTTTTCTCCTTTTTAAAAAAATTATTTTATTTCATTATTTTTTGTGTGTACCGTCAAATCAGATCTGACTGGTACAGGAGGAGATTGTTCCTCCTTCTCCAGCAGAGCATCTGGTGGATTTGAACCATGCACCTCTGAGACTGTAGTTGCAGCTTCTTTCCACTAGGCCACCAGAGCTCGCCAAACCTATGCTCCTTAAAAACCTATTTATAGGTGTCAAATTTGCAATAACAACTTGAAATATTATATAGGAACCCCCGAGGAAGTGAATTTGTTAATGAGGAAGGAACGACTGAAGAAAGGAGTATGAAAATGTTACACAACTCAATGTAATCAATGGCACTAGATAGTATGTGTGGAAATGCTTGAATTGGTATATGTTGTGTTTTGTATAGCTTAAACAATTTAAAAAACATTTTAATATATCTATGTCTATGTCTATCTATATCTATCTATCTATCTATCTATCTATCTATCTATCTATCATCTATCTCATACAAGTTTGAAAGCAGGAGTGGCATCCACTTTCTAAATAGCATGCCTCCGGAAACTCTGTGAACTTAGATAAATGTTTATAGTTGTAGAGGGTCTTCAAGCCTTTTGTTCATAGGGTTGTTATGAGTTGTGCTTGACATGTCATGCTTGAGTTCGACTTGAAGGCAATTAACAATAACAAATATGTATATATATAGTTGTTGTTATGTATTGCCAAGTCAGACCGACCCATAGCTGACTCTCTATTGTGTTCTTAGAGGCAGTACATCACACAGGCAGAAATACCTCATCTTTCTCCGATGGAGAAGTTGGCAAATTTGTACCATGTGTCTTTCAGTTGGTAGTGCAACTCCTTACCACTAAGCCATAAGCATTCCATTTTCTATATGCATTTATATATATGTTTAAAGGAAAACTTCCCAAAAAAGAAAATTCTTGGACTAAATTACTTCATTTGAGAATTATATCAAACATTTACAAAAGTATTGTCAGTTCTATTCAGACTTAAAAAAATAAAAAAGGAGACAAGGACATACTACTGTCAATACCTTCTTCTTACTTGGATCCGCAATTAACACCCTTGGTACCAGCAGTCAGGAAATAGGGAGACACATTGCCCTGGCAAGTGTGCAGTTAGGAACCTCTCCAAATTATTGAAGAGTAATGATGCAGGTTTGAGGCCTTAGGTGCATCTCATTCAGGCCATGGTCTTTCTGACCACTTGTTAAGCATCTGAGAGCTGGACAGTGAATAGGGATGACAGAAGAAGACTTGATGCCTTTGAGATGTGGTGTTGGAAAAGAGCACTAAACATCCCATGGACTGTCAAAGGAACAAACAAATATATCTTAGAGAGGGTGCAGCTGGAGTGCTCTTTGGAGGCAAAGATGATGAGACTTTGCCTCTCATAGTTTGGGCATGTTGCTAGGAGGGGCTGTTCGTTGAAGGAGGGACATGATGCTTGGAAGGATGGAGGGCTGGAGAAGGAAAGAAAGACCCTGAAACAGTTGGATTGACATGGTGACTGCTGCAGTGGGCTCTAGTTTGTTAGGAAGTGTGAAGATGGCACACAATAGGGTGGGGTTCAGATTCACTGTACATAAGGTCACTCTGAGTTGTACTCTGCTTGACAGCACCTAACAACAATAACAACCTGCTGTGCAAATATTATCCTGATTAATAAAGCCAGAGAAAGATACCCAAAGAAAACTACAGACTAATCTTCCTAATGAAGATTTCTCAATAAAATACTTGTAATGTACTGTCAAATTAGAACCAACTCATAGCTTACTCTCCAGTGGGTTTTCAGAAGCAGTAAATCACATGAGAGATTGTCTGTCCTTCTTCCATGAAGCAGCTTGTGGATTTAAATTGCCTGCCTTTGAGTTGACAATGCAACTCCTTACCACTAAGCCACTTGTGCTCCCTAATAAAATACTGGCAATCTGAATTTTTAAAAAACATATTTTGACTTTTTAAAAATTTAACATCTACTTAGAATGTCAAATTGAAAATGTGGATTTTTCTGTATTACAGGGTCTTAAACCGTTAGGTACTTAGTAAAAGGATTTTTCTCTTATTTTTTTCTATATTAGATGGAGGCGTTCTTTTCTAGTGAGCCTTTTTTTTTGTATTCCTGTAATGGGACTAATGACATATATGATGGTTATGGACCACCACCTTGCAGCTCTTCACTATTATCAGAACACGAGTCATGAGGAAATGATCACAATTCATTCGTCTATGTTTTTGGAACACCAGATCCTGCCTGGCTTGTCAGTTATGAATTTGCTTTCCTTTTTATTCTGTGTACCTGTACAGGCAAGTTAAACATTAGTAAGCAAATATATGTATATGTTTGTTAATAATGTGTGTGTAATAATGAAAGTAGCAAAAATGTGTCAGGCAAGGTTGTTTTCAACTGTAAGACAGATCTGCTTATTTTTGCTAGATATTTTGCAAAAAGAATATTAAACTGAAGAGTTATTTTAAAATTAATGTTGTTGATTGCCTTCGAATTGAGCATGACTCATTGTGACCCTATGAACAAAAGGCCTGAAGCCCCTCTACAACTCTTGACATTTATCGAAGTTCATAGAGTTTCCAGAGGCATATTGTTTAGGAAGTGGATGCCACTCCTGCTTCCAAAAAATTAATAGTAGATTCCATTTAACCCCAAGTACATTGTTTAATGACAAAGCAAGGAACAAAGTTTCAAGAATTTTAGCGTTGGTATTTATAACTACTATTATGTATTAGTTTATAGAACTTGTCTTCTTTGGAACTTTCCCCCATAACATTTATTTCCCCACACTTTAGGAAATTAGAAGTCTGAATCCAGGGCATCAGGTATAAAGGAAAGTTGTCTCTTTGTTGACTCTAGGGAAGGCTCTTGTTTCTTTAGTTTGTTTCTTGGTTCCTTGGAGATCTCCATGTGGCTTTGCTAAATCTATTATTTTAACTAATCCTTATAATATGCAATTTAAAAACCATTTTTCTATGCTGAAGAAAAATAAGCTTTTTCATTATGTTTACCAACAATAACAGCTAGCAGACTGAGTATGATATGTACCACTTAGATTGCGTTTTGGAAAAAGGGAGGTGAGTTTTATATAGAAAATCCTTGTCAAAACAATAATATTTTGCCTGGTTTTGGTTTTGCTAACATTGATAAAAGACCTGTCTGACATTCTTTGTATTATGAAATATCCATGGGATCATGGTGAACAGCCCTCAAAGAGCTCAGAAGAGGAGGGACTGGTCCTTGGAGAAGGGACATCATGTTTGGGAGAGTGGAGGGACGGCGCAGGAGAGGAAGACCGTCAATGAGATGGATTGATTCTGTGATTGGGGTGGTGGGAATGAGTGTTGGAGATGGGGAGTTTGGCACAGGATTGAGTAGCGTTTAGGGGTCTTGTACATAGGGTCGCTGTGAGTCACAAGCGACTCAATAGCGCATAACAACAATAACAGTTGGAATACTTACTTTTACCTACACATACAACTTTAGAGAACAGTATTGGTTTGGCTAAAAATCTTGTCTTAATGTTTATCAATTGCTAAAGTTAATACAGATATTTTCCACACTTATTGAAATATATATGTGAATTCTACCAATTTAAAAAGATCTCAGTGATTATTGTTTCTGTATTACAGTTTTTTGGAGGCTGGTACTTCTACATTCAAGCTTATAAAGCACTGAAGCATAAGACTGCGAATATGGATGTACTGATTGTGTTAGCAACAACTATTGCATTTGTCTACTCTTTGATTACTCTTACTATTGCAATGTATGAAAAAGCCACCGTGAACCCTCTTACTTTTTTTGACACACCTCCTATGTTATTTGTGTTTATTGCACTAGGTCGGTGGCTGGAACATGTAGCAAAGGTAAAGTATGAAAGATGACAGTTAATTAAATCTTGGAAAGATAAGAGGACCATAATAATTACTAGAACAATTATTGGGAAAATAACATTGATTTTTGCAGTTATCCATTTGCTGAAAGTACCTTTTTTAAATAAATATTACTTTAATTTACCAAACTTACAGAAAGTGAAATATGATTATATTTAAGTGAGAAAAATATTAGAAAATACCCGTAATTTATCCCATATCACATTTTTAATAGAAAAATTTCACCTGACGACTTATTTTTTAAAAATGTATTTAATATTATTTTTGGGATTTAAAATTTATTTTGATTTAAAATAATGATAGAAAAAATTCAACCACAATCTTATGCTGTAATTTGAATTCTTTTTCTACTCCTGTTCTATATATCTTTATATTTTATAGAGTTGCAAACATTCAACACATTCTTTTTCTTTTTTTAAATTTTTTTAATTTTTTTTATTCTTTTTCTTTTTAATACCATAACATTTTGCCTTTCTTAGTGTAGATCATTATTTGATATTTCTTTTTTAATATAATTTTTATTGTGATTTTAATGCACGTTTACACAAAACCTGAATTTCCATTCATTAATTTTTTATTATGAAGATTTTTATTAAATTATAATCTATTACCGTTTTTTTCCTAATAAGATCTTCATCTTTAGGTGAGAGTTAACTTGAGATAAAACCTCTTTGGCCACATTACTACTTGAGTTTTTTTGAGCCACTTTCTTCTTAACCATTTGTTATCACTTCATAGCATTGAGCTGCGATTCTTGTGATGTTGGATCTTTAAGGGATGCTGAAGAAGAGCTGCTTGACTTCTTTGTGCTTTTTCTGGTGATATTTCTACTAGGCACTGATATTTTGCAATTCCCATTCCCACTCATTTGTCTGCTGCTTCCTGGAATGAAACTTCTTGGACTAGGAAGACCAACTTTGCTAACATTATCGCAACTATCTGAGCAACTAAGGCCTGTTTTGCCTAAGGTTAGAGGTGGAAGTGGTTTCAGTGGTACAGTGGGCATGGTACTATTGCTGGAATCTATTTTGGAAGGTATTTCATCTTTGGATGATGTCACCAGATCAGCCAAACACACAGGCTTCTGATTAGTTAATGAGGTAGTAGGTTTCCCACTTTTGGTCTGTGTTGTTGAATTCAATTTTGCTGTTGATGGACCAGCAGAGGAGATCTTGGCTGCAAAAGTTGCCCATCCTATTAGGCCACTAGTTACCAAAGAGAAAACACTGGTATTAGAAGAATTCCCTGAAATAACTGTGGATGCCTTGACTTCTGATCTCTTGAGTGCCAGAAATACTGTCTTTTGTTTTGGTTTAGTTTCTGGTTTCTTAACCAATGGATCTTTGGCAGCTAGAACTACAGAAACTGTGGGGGCTAGTTTCTGTGCTGACTTCTGAGTTTCTTGAGCCATTCTTTTCATTTGTCTGGTACACCGTGCACAACACCACACCAGGCGAGGGTCCTTCACTTCCTTATCTGTCACTTGGGGTTTGTGGCAATCTTGGTGATAGAGATTATGGCACTCTTGACATTCTAATAGTCAATGTCATTTGCTTGCATATAACATAGGCCAGTCCCATCTCCATGGCAAAATAATCAGCACTAGTCACCTTTAAGCAAGAAAGGTAAGCCATTGTTAAATCCTTGCTCACTTTGACAGTAATGGGAGAACATGTTTCTGGTTTCTCCAGACGTGGGTTTTTTGGTGCATTAACTTCTTCACTTATGTCAGATTTTATTTTATCATCAAGTCTCTCTTCAGCTTCCTTCTTCACCATTTGTATTGCGAGGACCTTGCCATTATTATTATCAGAAGAAGACTAAAAGATGTGTTAATGGAAATACTTTTTTGTGCTTGAAATTTTGGGTGGCTCGACATCTTTTGGAGATGGACGGTAACTGGAATCAATGCCCCGAGCCAAAGAGTCGTCAAGTAGAGCTTTCAGTTTTTCAGCAGAATCCTTACTCTTTAAATATAAAAAGCAAGGGCTTTAAAAACAATGGGATCAAGTTCCAAATTGAAAGTAACAGACATTGGGAACACCTCTCTGCCCAGCAGCTCTCTCCCTTCTCAGTAGCCACTTCCAAACCAGTCCCCAGTGCCAGTCAACTCTTACATTCATTCATTGTTGCACATTTTGCACATATCACCCCAGTTCATTTTTCTCTTTAAAAAATGTATTTACTGTTGCACAATTTCCTTCCCCCAGTCCACTTTGCTATGCATCTTTTATTCTGGGCTGTTGTCGTGCAGATAATGCCTAATCATATATTTCTTTTAAACAGTTCTTTTCCACAACTTCTCTGTCCATTTATTTGTTGATGGCACTTGGATTACTTCCATCTCTTTGCTATTGTGAACAGCACAGCAATAAATATGAGTGTGCATATATCTGTTTGGGTGGCAGTTCTGGTTTCTTTAGGGTATATTCCCAGTAATGCAATTGCTGGGTCAAATGGTATTTCTATTTCCAACTTTTTGAGAAAGTGCCATGCTGCCTTCCATAGTGGTTGTACTATTTTCACTCCCACCAACAATGAATAAAGGTTCCAATTTCTCCACAAGCTTGCCAGCATATGTTGTTTGCTGCTCTGTTAAACTTTGCTATTGTCACTGGGGTGAGATGATATCTCATAGTTTTTTTTTATTTGTATCTCTCTTAGAGGTAGGGATTTTGAACATTTCTTCATGTGTGTTTGTTCTCCATCTGAATGTGTTCTTTGGTAAAGAATCTGTCCATGTCCTGTGCCCATTTTGTGATTGGGTTGTTTATCTTCATCTTGTTTTGGTGTTGGAGTATTCTATAAATTCTAGATATAAGCCCCACATGAGACATGTCATTACCAAATATTTTTTCCCAGTCAGTGGCTTTTGTCTTTACCCTGTTGGGGAAGTTTTTTGATGTGCATAAGCTTTTTATTATTGGAAGTTTCCATTCATCTGTTTTATTCTCTCCTGGTTGTAAAACTTCAGGTTTTTTAGAGGGTGTCACATTTTCTTGCTATACTTTGTCAATTTGTTAGAGATGTTGGATTAGAGAATCAATTATAATTTTTTTTCTTTTCTTTTGATGTGTTTGCCTCTTGCTATAAATTGACCTCTGATTACTGCTTTGGCTGTTTCCCAGAGGTTTTGATAAGTGGTGTTTTCATTGTCATTTGTTTCAAGAAACGTTTTAATTTTATTTTTTATTTCTTCTAGTACCCACTCATGTTCAAGCAAGGTGATGTTCAACTTCCAAATGTATGGTTTTTTCTCCCTTATCATCTTGTTATTAATTTCTAATTCTGTAGCATTGTGGTCTAAGATGATGCTTTGTATTATTTCTATGCTTTTGAATTTATTGATGCTTGCCTTGTGACCTAAAATGTGATCTATTCTGGAGAATATTCCATGCACATTATAGAAGATGGTATTCTGTATTTTTTGGGGGGTGCATTAGCCTGTATATGTCTATGCGATTGAATTGGTTTATTGTGTGGTTTAATTCTTGGGTTTCTTTCTGGTAGTTCTATCTTTTCTTGAGAGTGGTATATTGAAGTCTCCTACTACTATAGTGGTGTTTTCTACTTTTTTCAGGTCTGTTACTGTTTGCTTTGTATATTTTTCAGCTCTATCATTTGATGCATAAATACTTATTATGGTTATGTCCTCTTGTTCTCTTGACCCTTTAAGCATTAGATAGTGACCATCCTTGTCCTTTTTGATCATTTTTTTTGTTGTTGTTTATTTATGTTTTATTGACTGTGCGAAGGCATTACATATGTGGATAACAACAAATGATGGATGACATTACAAAAATGGTAATCCCAGAACACTTTATTGTGCTCATGAGAAACATGTACACCAACAAAGACATAGTTGGTTGACCACAATAAGAGAACACTGCATGTTGGGTTTTTTGTTTGTTTGTTTTTTAATTTATTTCTTTTTTTTTTCTTGTTGAGGAATGTATATCTACTTTAATGCCTTAAATAGAAAAAAATGAAAGTGCAGCTCATCCTTTTGACATTTTTCTGGAGATTTTACTTTGAAATAATTCTTTTTTTTTAAATTTAGGTTGTTTATTTTCATTTCAATGAACATCTACAGAGATTTTGGGATTCCATTCATTCATTGTTGCACCCCTCTCCCCGCACAAACCCCTCCCCCCCCCCCCCCATTTGCTCCTCTCCTTGAAAAGCAAAAGAAAAACTCCCACATTGGTACACAATCCCCCCCCCGCACCTCCCCAAACCCCACCCCCCTAGCCCCAAATATATATGTAGAGTGGATACTTTTTGATCATTTTTGCATTGAAATATATTTAATCAGAGATTAATATCAATACTTCTGCTTTTTTCTGGTTGCCTTTTGCTTGGTATATTTTCCTCCCACACCCTTTTATTTTTAGTCCTTCTTTATCTTCACTATTCAGGTGTGTCTCTTGTAGACAGCATATTGATGGGGGTTTTTTAAAATAAATTAATTTTAATGAAAGTCTCTAATGAGACTTAAGGTTTCCAGTCATTCATGTTGCACTTTTCTTCCTGCCCACCCCTCCCCCAATCCACTTTTCTCTTGATAAGTAAAAGAAAGACTTTCATTGCTTTGCAATCCCTCCCCCCAAGTCCACTGCACTGTGCAGCCTTCATTCTGGACTTCTGACATGACACTAATACCTAATCGTATATCCCTTTTAAACAGTTCTCTCCCTCATCTTTTGCAATACACTATACATCATTCCTCCCCTTCTACTCTGTCTTCCCTCAACCCCAGTGTCAATACTGTTTTACATTAGTGGCCCTATGCAATAATTGCCCTTTTGTGACTGAGATGTTTCACTCAGCATAAGGTCATCTAGGGGCATCCATTAGCATAAAATATTTCATTAGTTCCTTCTTTTTCAGTGCTGCATAGTATTCTATTGCATGAATATACCAGAGCTTCTCTATCCATTCATTTGTTGATGGGCACTTAGGTTGTTTCCAGC